CAAAACAAACACAGTCGTCAGTCCCGATCCCAGTCCCAGTTCAACTCCCAATCCGGAATCTCAGTCCCAACTTCCCGTAGAGATGAGGTCCCAATATGAGGTCCCAATCCCGAATCCCAATCCCCGTCCCAGTTCAACTCCCAGGTAAGAAGGCCCAGTCCCTTTCCGAGTCCGAAATCCAAGCGCCTATCCTGATACTCGTTCCACTTCACAGTCCCGAATCCCAGGTCCAAAGTCCCAGTAGCTGATGTCTCAGAGGGTTGGCGGGAGTGACGCTGTACACAACACACATAGCAAAAGACTGTCCCTGTCCAATTCCAGTATGAGACCCTATCCACAGTCCCCTTCCCATCTCCCAACCACTTTGTTCCCGAGTCGAGGTCCAATTCACCAGTCCCAATCGCAGTCCCAATCGCTGGGTATGAAGGCCCACTCAATTTCCACATCCGAAATCTAAATCTGAATCCCGATACCCGTTCCGCAGTCGCAATTGCTGTACAGACTGTATACAGCATGCGCAACACACGCAACACAAAACTGAAGTCACACTTATATGGACTGCAGGGCTTCAAAGACAACCGAAGTAGTTTACAGACTGTATACAACATACGCAACACACGCAGCAGAAAACTGAAGTCACAGTTATATGGAAGAAGACCCACATAGCAATAAGCCTAAAACAGTTTTGTCACTTTGTTTGGACTCGCTGCATGTGACTGATTGGATGATCGGGTTCACTGACCGCATCAACAGAGTACTTTCACTGACTACTTTGATTGACTACTTGGACTGACTGTATGTCAAAGCCAAGTGTGTCGAGGGTGTCCCAGAGGGTTGGTGGCAGTGACAACGTACGAAACACAAGTGTGTGAAGGTGAAGGTATGGAAATGCAAAAAAAAAAAAGACAGATACATAAATGAAACAAACAAAGGGTGTATTAAAGATGTGTCCCAGAGGGTTCATTGTTGTGACAATGTTGAAAACAAACACACAGAAAGACTTTTAAACACCCGTCTCAGTCCCCAGTCCCGAATTCCGGTCTGAGTCCCCATCCAGACTCCCGATCCCAGCTCCCAACACCTTGGTCCCAAGTCCACGTCCCAGTCCCGAGTCTTGATCCCAGTCCCAGTTCAACTCCCGGGTAAGAAAGGCCAGTCCATTTTTTTGAGTCCGAATTGGGAATCCCGATCCCGATGGTCACAATGTGCAAAACACACACGCAGAGGGTCCATTGTTGTGACAACGTTGAAAACAAACACACATAAGGACTTTTAAACACCCCTGTCTCAGTCCCCAGTCCCGAATTCCGATCTTAGTCCCCATCCAGACTCCCGATCCCAGCTCCCAACACCTTAGTCCCAAGTCCACGTCCCAGTCCCGAGTCTTGATCCCAGTCCCAATTCAACTCCCGGGTAAGAAAGGCCAGTCCATTTTTTTGAGTCCGAATTGGGAATCCCGATCCCGATGGTCACAATGTGCAAAACACACACACACAATGTGCAAAACACACACGCAGAGGGTCCATTGTTGTGACAACGTTGAAAACAAACACACATAAGGACTTTTAAACACACCTTGTCTCAGTTGCCAGTCCCGAATTCCGGTCTGAGTCCCTATCCAGAGTCCCAATCCAGTCTCCCAACACCTTAGTCCCAAGTCCAGGTCCCAGTCCCGAGTCTTGATCCCACRCCCAGTTCAACTCCCGGGTAAGAAAGGGCAGTCCATTTTTGACTTCGAATTGGGAATCCCGATCTCGATGGTGACAATGCACAAAACAAACACAGTCGTCAGTCCCGATCCCAGTCCCAGTTCAACTCCCAATCCGGAATCTCAGTCCCAACTTCCCGTAGAGATGAGGTCCCAATCCCGAGTCCCGATCCCAGTCCCAGTTCAACTCCCAGGTAAGAAGGCCCTGTCCCTTTCCGAGTCCGAAATCCAAGCGCCTATCCTGATACTCGTTCCACTTCACAGTCCCGAGTCCCTGGTCCAAAGTCCCAGTAGCTGATGTCCCAGAGGGTTGGCGGGAGTGACGATGTACACAACACACATCTCCCAACCACTTTGTTCCCGAGTCGAGGTCCAATTCACCAGTCCCAATCGCAGTCCCAATCGCAGTCCCAATCGCGTGACAAGCCTGTCGTTGATGAGCAAAAACACTGGAGAACAATGTGCAACCATGGTCATACCTACCCCACCAACCATACTTCTTCAGCTAGCCCTAATCTGATAGCCTACTACCCTGTCGCCTCTCGTGCAAACAGGTGGGAGAGATAGATGCATGGATTAGGATCT